AAAAAAAAAAAAGAAAAGAATTCCTAGCGTGTCAAAAGCCACGATTTGATAGAAATTCGCTAATTTCATTGGACATTCGTGTAGAGAAGAAAAATGCTGACGTAACGGGACCGACTGAGAACTTCTGTGAACGTATACTTCTCTCGTCCAGTCTCCACTTCAGGCGTACGCAAACACAGAGCAGAGAAACAGCGTGGAAAGTCGCAGACGGTCGTGCAGCTCGTCCGTGACGTCATTAGAAGATAAGAGCTTCATTATCTGAACGGTAGAGGGGAAACCGGCATATACGCGTAACGATTTCCTACGATATTGCGTATGTACATACTTCCAGCTGGTTACTCGCGACTGACTGACAGACTCGTCGCGACGCGTGCTCATCGATCTACTCACGTTCACCGATAAAACCACACTTCATCATCGTTAAGTCTCCTCCTACATTCACAATCAATCCCGAGGAACGTTCGCCTTCGTTTCATCCGAATTCTTACAGATTGTTTAGTGTAAAAGTTGCTCGCGCAGAGTAAATCCGTGGATAAGATCCACGGGTTTATATTCGTTGTTACGTAATCAACTGTGCGCTGTCGTCGAGTTATCGCAAGTTGATGTTTCACGTGGGAATCGTTCCGATATCTATTAATCGTCCAATCTAATAAGTGTTTGTCGGGCGGTTGTCGTATGACAACCAGTTCTGAAAATAGACTCATCCGAGTTGAAGGAACGGTGCATCGGGCGAGAGAAGATAAGGAGGATTTCTTCCAGAGAATCTTTCATTACTCCAGTTTCTTTTTTTTTTTTTCATCCAGGTTGCAGCGTCGGCGTTCAATGTGAAAATCAACCAATTCACGGAGTGTTTTTCGATTGTTATACAGTTAGTAAAAATTTCGCTCGATTTGATGAAAAGACAAGAAAAAGGAAAAGAAGAAAAACACTGCGTCGAGAAGAAGATACGGTGGATTATTTTCTACGCGCGTGTTTCGTTTGTCCAAAGAACGAATATATAGATAGAAATTATCAATTCGTTCCAGTTCCATCGAGAGATAATCGAAGATACGCCTCGATCGAGGTTG